GAATGAACAGAAATTTATGAAATCGTTATATTATTTAGAGTACTTAAATAGTACATAATATTATGGTAATTATTATTTTCTAAATGTTTAAATATAAATGCTTCGTTTTCAGTTATGGTGAATTAAGGGATGACATAATTAAATTATTAGTATTATTAGCATTTTTAATATTGTTATAAGACAATAATATTACCTACATATATTATTATAATACTATTAAATGATACAAATTATTATTTTATCTTATTAAAATATTAAATAAATACTAACAAACAACTATTTTAAATGTCAAAATGTTAATATAGTTCTGAAGTCAAATCATTGTACTAGTGAGAAATAAAATAAAAAAGTATTTATATATACATATCGGTACATAAAAGAATTCGATGACAACGAAGAATACTATTGTGGTTGAGAGATAATCRTTGTATGTAGTTGATGAAAAGGAAATATGTTAGCTGTATGAGGAAATTCCTACTGTGTAAATCTTTCGAGTGTAATCGAAGGAATGGCAATAATTGCAGTTTGTTTTGCCCGGGTGGTTTCATTTGAAATTACTAACTCAAGCTCTGAGTGTTCTAGATCAGATCGTCTGTTTCCACAATGTTTCATAAGTTGTAACTTTATGAGACGATATTGTATTGATACACTGACGACTACACAAACAGTTTTATTCAGAGATCCAAAGTTGGAACAATCAAAATAACATGTTAAAAATTCTTACAAGTTACAATAGGTGTATATAAAAATTGTCAATGATTTTTTACCATTTTTGTAATTGGATTCCGACTGAGGCCATTATTGCATTGATTTTACAACATTTGGCTACTGWCTCCACTCAAAATCACATTTTACCATATGAATTGATTTTATATTTCTTATTGAAAGCAATTGATGTAAATAATAAATTATAATATTACAGTGATCTACTCTATTACAAAGAAAACTTGATGGTCAACACGTACTTATACGACAGAGTGACTACCCCTGTGTTCGCTTTGATAGATTTAATAAATTCGAAATTTGAATTAATCTGTTGATAAAAGTTTATTTTAAACTAGCTGATCCACGTACACTTCGTTGCCCGTTAAAAATACCTACTCTATATAATTAAAAATGATTGGTTAAATCGTCGTTTATACTCGGCTAGTCATGATCAAAACTTCTTGTGACAAATTCCCGTAGATTTACTCTCCATGAAAGATTTTTAATACAGTCATTTAAAATACAGGACTAAAAKTATATTCAATTATAATATTTTATCTCATTTTTAGCTTTGTAAAGGTAAAACAATTTTTTAAATTGGTACYTAACAGCAAGTTGCTAATTTATTATTCTTCCATACTAAATTGTTWAACCAATAACAACCATCTAATACACAAACATAAATTTAATATTATTTCTATAAAAATCTCAAATTCACAATAAAAAAAAAATTAAGGGCAACTTATCAAGATAAAATACGGCATATGACACTCACAAAGAATGTGACTTTCTATTGGGGAAAGAATTTTCGAAAGCGATTCACTAGTTCCAGAGATTACCCTCAACATCAACTAACAATTCCTCTTTATATAACAATACATAGATATATAGATAACTAATTTAAAATTGTTTTGTTTAAATAATACACCATGTGTACAAAATAAAAAACTAAATAGGTGAACTAAAGAACATAAGGTAATATAAAGTATTTTTCACATATTATAAAATGTTTGTTTCCGAAAATTCTGAAAGTGCAGGGTATAATATTTTCCGTAGTTTTTCGATACTCATTTGTGTACATTGTAATTTAAGACCATTTTCTACAGCCCCGCCAAAGAGGGGACCAGAGCGAGAAAATAACAAAACGATAGTCGGTAATCTTCTTAAAAGTTTAATTTCAAAAAACCCACTTTACTGGAAAAGAGGGTGGGTGGGCTATCTGCTTTCGGGTGCCATTACGTGTTTGTACTGCTAAAATGGTCACACGTCGTCGAAGTTTTGAAAGCGTTATGACAGTGGGCCATTAGCAACAACGGCGGCTGTATCTGAGGCTCTTATATGGGGCTGAAGGGATAGCGCACGGGTCATTTTTTCCACTCTGATCCTCATCGTCTATGAAGTCGTCATGAATAACTCAACGGGTGAACAACACATTTTTAAGGGTCTTTATTTTTTTTTTTATTCTCAGGAAGTATAATGGGATACGTGACTTGTTCCGGAATCATAGAATCAATAATGTCCTGCCAGAAGGGTGTAAAAAACACAAAAAAAGAAAAAAAAACTTAAAATAAAATACACTTACCAGCCAACAGCTGCAGGTATCCGGCGACTTTGGCTGTCGACTTTTGGATGACATGTGTCACGCAACATGCAGATACAGCAGATACCGCCACAATAACCGTGATTGCAGTCGCGCCTCCTATAAGAATGGTGCTTATCTGCCACCATACACTTGGAATGTCGTTGAACCTGAAATCGTCATAATATAGTATAAATTATTTTAAACAGGTAGAGCTTAAAAAATATTAACAATAATATTATAATACAAACACAATTTTACAATCGATCAATAAAAAAATATAACTGTGATGTAGGTATGTGCCCGAAGAAAAAATGTAACACAATAATATTTCTAAATCAAAATTATCTTGTTTGAAATTAAAAGGTAAATKACAKTAATTTTAATTTTTTTGAGAGTCATGTGCCTACATTCGATGCTAGATTACCCACAATAAGCGAAGTAGTCRTCTAGAGTTAGGTTCCATGCCCTTTTAGTGGTCCATGCAATACAGATATCAATATTACAAAAAATTTTTTTTCTATTTTTATACCTATTCAATTCTATGACTAACATAATCTAATATTAATTTTCAATCATTTTTAGAGTGAGATTAATTGTGTGTTCTTTCCTGATTCATTATAAAAACTTTTAAATCGATAAACTAAAATTCGGGTGTCCTGTGATYACGAACTACGTGCTGTTGAACGAACTTTTTTGCAGATAAAACTACTGAAAATGTATMATTGATCTCAATTACCTACGTCAAAACTGATGAATGTGACCATTGAATAGAATTTCAAATTATTATATATTAGTAGCTAAGTACTTATAAGTGCATATTTTTTTTCCGACCACGGGTGTAAATTATACTACTTGAAAATTTCATATATACATATAYTAACTATCTAGTATAGATGTACATGTAAATATTTTACTCATAATAGTCATAATATACAAWATGGATTATTATTCTCGTAGTCTGAAAGGAAAATGATAAGTTGAATCTGATTTTCAWAATTTATCAAGTTTCAAATTATGATTAATTTTTATTTGAYATACTATTATTSTATAACTTTAAAACTAAACTTTATTATATCAGGTGGTTTTGTTTATTTTTARTATTAAAATAATCTAATATAAAATATGACACATTGAAAGTGCAATTAGTTATAACACAAAATAAGTATACTGGGTAACTTAACAAGCACTCTTGCATAATTTTGTCCTTCATTAATGGAGCTATTCAAAAACTGATCTTTTGAATTTTGAGTATATTTAAAGATTTAAACTTAAACTTTTAAATTTTTAAATATACTGATATACTTAAATTACTGATTGAGATTGTTAATAATACTTAAAGAGCCTTGTGGAAATTCAAAAAAAAACCTTGGTTTACTACTGTAAATTATTTAGTATATAAGTTTTCTGAAAATGTTGACGGGCCAAAATAAAACATTTAACGAGTAGTTTTTGAGGATAATAGGTCCATAATAAAATTTTAGGAATATATAAATTGAGTCAATGGTGTTCGGTTTATAGTAATAAATAGTAATTACTATATAATATTATTCCAATTCTAAAAATCTGTAAAAATTGCCATATACAATAAAAATAGATCTAAGATTATTTGGTATTTACAATTAATTATAACTATTTTATTTTTTTGTAAAACATTTTAGCATACAATTTTTAGACATATCGTTCAAGTTTTGAATTGTGTATATACATTTTCAAAACAAATATTCACTAAACAGTATACAATAAAAAGGAAGTTCTCTATTGGAAAACGGAATTTTGTAAGACACGTTATAAGAAGTACAAAAAAAAAAAAAAATGAAAATAGGGTCTTAAAGTATATTTAAATATCTCAAAAACCAGAATTTAAATTAATTTATCCTTAAAGTAAAAAATAGGGGTGAGTATGCTTGTTGAATTACAATAATTACATTGAATACACAATACATTGGTTATATCATTAAAGTTTGATCTATTTTATATGTTTTGTGTTTTTTTGCTTTAAGATCAAATTATAGTTATTATAAACAACACATAAAAAAAAAAAAAAAAWAAATACGAGTTTGTGTCCCGTAAAAAAATCCAATCCGGGGACAGCAGAGGTCATTATTCTCAAATTAAAAAAAAAAAAAAAAAAAAAATGAAAAAATCGTTTTATTAATGATGTCGAAAAAAATATTCCGTTAAATCCAGCGTTTAAATTTATTTTGAACATCACGTGAAAAATCGCAATAAACTATAACTTCGTTGTTTATATAAATAATAATAACCACATAAAATGAGTAATTCTTTTGAAAAACTTTAACAGAGAATACGTATAGAGAAGAAAACAATTGTTTTTCAAAATAATATTTTCTGCTGCCAAAGTCGTTTCCGTTATTGTTTTTCCGGTTCAGTAGATGTCTGCAATTGTTTGAGACACGCAGACGTATGGTACGCGTATACACTACGCAATTAAATCGGATTTGCCCGTCGTCGAACTAATACCCGTATGATATCAGAGGACTTCATAACTCGTACGCGGTATTTCCCTCACCCGTTCATCTTCTCTTTCGAACACTCTCTTCGTGTCTGCTATTAACCCTCCATCTGATTATATCATCTCCATCCATCAGTCTCTCGCTCAATACACAATTTATATATTAAAGTAATACCGAACACACACATATATATATCCATATCGGTGAACTCATATTATCACCATACACGTCTGTACCTCAGTCCAGAAACCTGTCCAATTTCGATTGTGTTTCTGGAACAACAAAGGTGCTCARCAAATAAAATAATAATATTTTTAATCATTATCGTCATTGTTCTTGCATCATTTCAGCACTTGATAGCGATAATATAGAATACTTACACCGTTTCTATTATTAACAAGTAACAACGATTTATTACTTCCGAACAGATAGAAATATTCATATTGCAGAGGAATKTACCGTTGTTGGTTTTTTTTATTTAATCATGATTGAAATTGTAACATGAACTTCGAAGACAACAACGACGACAGCTAACGTTGATCGTACATGGTGACATATAAAGCGTTCATATTATGATCAAACCACGTTCACGTACAATATTATATATCGTGCTATACAGTCAGAGGTTTTTTGTTTATACATATATTTTATTTCACCACGGCCAATACGTCGTTTCGATAAATTCCATATGGAGATTTATACGGGATAGGTTTTCACCCCTGAAAGACATCATAGATGAATATCGAATTGCAGTATGTTTGATCGCATACGGAGAATGTTGAAATAGATAATAATATATTATTATCAAAGGAGAAAACCGAGTAAGACCCGCCCACACCATTTACTGCTCAAACTATCGACACACTATACTGCTATATTATTATTATTGTTGTGCGTTTAGAAACGATTGAACAGTCACATATATTATTATTATAAACTTTTGTACCTGCTATGGAATTTACAAAGTAGATCTTAATGTATTTCATTGGACGCGTCAAAATATACAAAACGGTTGATATATAATGTTATAGTAAGTTACAAATAATAATACGCAATTTTATTAATACTTAAGTGATACGCAGTTTACTTGGTAAAACGGATTTGTCGAGATGTCATTAACTAAATTAAAATACAAGTAGGATGTATAATGTGCATACGGATGCGATGTGAACAAAATACATACTATTACCTACCTATAAATTTCTAGAATCATTATGATTTTTTTTCAGATGCAAAAAATTGTTCTAAAATATTAACATAAATAAGTTGTAAACTGAATGTAGTATAAACTATATGAACATGCATTAAAAAATTAAAAAATATTAAGTTAATTTATTTATTAGAACATATTTTATAATTTTAAAATAAAAGTTTAATATATTATATTGTTATTAGAGCAAATGAATATGAAAAAAAAAAAACATCAAATTTATACCTAATAGGAAATGTCTAGTTTTATAATTTTCTATATTACCATGCATAGATAATAAATGATAAAACAATATTAAACCGATTAATTTATAGGATACCATCGTCGATACAATAAATGTAAAAGATAAAAAAATCATAGACCAAAYACGATATAAGAAAAACTCATCAGTTTATATCATAATAATGAGAAGCGGGCTCGGCTTGTAATGAATGATGGTTATTAAGGTAATCCGATGGATGAACATATTATACAAGATAGGTATCTGGTGCCCTTGTTAGCAAGGTTAGGTTAGGTTAGGTTAGGTTAGGTAAGCAACTGAGCAGTAACCAATATCATTCATAAGACATGGAGGCTATATAATACATACTTATATATTGTTATCTGATATATAAATTGATATTCAGCCTTTTAACGTSTCTCAAATTAACTTTAGAGACAAAAAAAGGGAGACGAGAGTTATAAATTTTATATTATCAGGTAAGTAGGTACCTATCTAATATTATAGGTAAATGTACCCTTATGAAAAGGTTTTAACTTAATTTTATTACATTCTTAGGAGAAACAAGTTTAGGTTAGATACAAATGTATATATGCTTTAGTCCAGTGGTTCTCAACCTGTTTATATCCTCGTACCATCTATATAGATTTAAATTTTTCATGTAGCACTTAAGCAAATGTACCACTTGAGCAATTTTCGCTTGTTGCAAAATAATATACGTCATATAAGATGATTGGAATTTTATTTTGTTTCGAACTACAAAACTATGGTATATAATAATAATAATGTTTTAAGATAAATTTAATTTTATTAAAAATCAATTATATAATGTAAAAGAGTATAAGTTAATTAAAAAAAAAAAAAAATTATGAACAAATATGTCATTTTTCGTGCATGACTATATCATATATGAGAAAATGTTGAACAACAACGCCAACACGACCTAAAGGTTAAAAAATACAAAATACATTCTGAAAAATATTTTATGAATAATATAATATTATTATTTATATATTTTATAAAGACAATGTATTTTAAGACTACAGATAAACTAAGAAGTATTTTCTGTTTATAGTCTATTTCACAAGAGAAAGTACACCACTGTAATATATGAATTACACCATATTGTATTTTGAATAAAATTACAAAATGAATATATAGAAAATGACCATACCTAGGAGTTAGAATAAAAAAAAAAACCCCAAATTTAAACTAAAACACAAATTAAATTTATTACGCAACATAAAATAATATTACGTAACC